TAATGCCTTTTACAGTGAAACAAAAACAATTTATTTGCTCAAATAGGGAATTATTTATGTTCACTATTTGAACAAATCTTCAAAAAGTTAAATTCAAGGTAGTAAGTAGTCCACTATAAATATAAAATGAATAAGAGCTGAACAATTTCATGAGAAATTTATTTATTTCAATTAAATTATTTCTATGATACAATCTCGCTGAACTATTTACGTTCTTCCTTTTAGTTTTCATTGTATACAACTATTTTCTTTATCTTTAAGTAATCGCTATATAAAATTATAAGGAGTGTACTTTAATATTACGATAAAATGCCACCACTTCAATGCTGGAATAAAATATTTTCTAATTTTTCTCCCTTTTGAATCTGAAAAGAAAGCTCCAGGGTAATTAAGATTTATTCAAAGATAAAATAAAAATGCGACACTAGAAATTAAAAAGAGTTAATATTATATCTAATCTTTTAAAATTTCTTTTCTGTTAATAATAAGAAAATTAAGACAAAATAACTTCCATAACAAAAACTAAGAAAAGGTGGTAAGAATAGGATAGTAACCCTCTGAGATTATTTTTAGTATGGTAAGAAAAAAATTTATAAGAAGTACTATTTCCAAAACTTTTGCAAAGCTTTATACACTGTGATTAATTAATTAATTTTGCTTAATATATTTCAAAACGTTTGCCTATTGTGTGGTTTTGCGATGTGGTTAAAAAATTTACACCCTTTTATTATTTTGTTTAAATATTGTAAAGTATTCGCATAGGTTTTATTACTTTAAAACAGGTGCTTGAAAGTATGAAGGAAACTCCACTGTCATTTTTACTCGACTTGTCATAAAAACTACAATATTTAATTTGGATTTATCACTTAACTCAACAAAAAGGCAAAAAAAAAGAAAGAAAAGAACAGCTATTAAAAAACATTTAATTTTATAAAAATTTTGCCTGAAAAATTAAATAATTAGAGTTTAAAATGAATTTAAATATTAAACAATCATGCACGATATTAAACAATCATGCACAAATGAAACCGAAACTAACTCCAGAATGTTTAAAATTTAAAGTAGTCAAAAATAAAAATCTCTTTGGACTTTTTAACACTTCAAAACTTAAATGCTGGCACAATATAAAAATTTAACATCCCAAATGAATTTATAAATTCTTAATAAATAGTAAAATGCAATATCTAATGAATGCAGTGTCTAATAAAAAACTGAACTATTTGTTACCGACCGCATTGTGTATACAATAGGTACGTTATGTGATGGCAACAAATTTTGCATATCGAGTTTTCGGTGGGAACGCAGTTCTCCATGATAGGGAAGTGTAAATAAACTAGTTTTAGCAACTTGTCAGTCTGTCTGTCTGTGTGTGCATGCGTGCATCTCAAGTTCGGCCTGTTTTTTTTGTGGGCCTCTTTTAAATTTTTGATGATTTTAAAGAAAGTATTCCACTGATTTACTTGAAATTTCTTATATAAGTTTCATTTAGCCGTACGCAAAATTTATAAACTTTTGGAAGAATTCAGGCATCTGCAACAGAACGTTTACTTAGAACCATATTTACATTTTTCTAGGTATGTTAACTAAAAGCTTATTAGTGTCCTTAAAATTGTAAAGAAGTGTTTACAACTCATTTTTATAAGCTCCTGGAATACTTTTACTAATTTAGACTGGTTTAGGTTATGTACTGACCACATCAGATTTTTTTTGATACGTTTGTCTCGAAAAGTTTTATATCATGCACTGTTCAATCTTGCAAAATTTTCTTACATTTTCTTAACAAATCCATAATTTTTAAAAAGCATGATAACATTTAATTTCTATGTTATGGTTCTTTCTTACAATCTCTTAATTTCCCAAATGAAAATTTCTACTGGAGCATTAAATTTTATGTTTTTTGAACTCATGATACTAATTAATTTTATTTTCACCATAAATATAAGTGTACTAGTAAATCAAAATAATATAATAAAAACTTTCCATGTTCAAAATATCGAATACAAATGTGTTTTTGATTCTTATTTCCCGTTCAACAGTTGGTGAGTGGAAATACCGACAGTAGGCATACTTTTGATGCGAGTCCATAAAAATTCGAACAGCTTCCTGGTCTGTGCCTGATTTCAGATAAAATTGATAATGATCTATACCAAAATTTCAGCAGAGACTCCGATTGCCAGCGAGACCTTTGCATATAGAGAGTAGCCAGTTGCAGCAAATAAACACTCAACAAAAGTATTTACCCATTTGGCAAAAGCTAAAAGGTTGCAAAATTTCCTCTAAGGTATATTCCTTTAATTGTTACATCAAGAAAGTAAAGAGTCGATTCACGTACAAAGAACTAAAAAGGAAATCTGCAAATTCAAGGCAAAAAATTTAAGATTATTACGATATCTGCATCTGCAATAAAAAATTAAGATATCTGCACAGAGAATAACGAAATGGGTATTGTAGTTTACGGAATATGAAGAAAATTTAGGTAGAAAAACTGATTGAATTGAAAAACATAAGCTTCCGCTAGTAATTATTGTAAGTTATATAACCATTTACATGCAATTAATAAAGATGAGAATATTGATATCAAGGTAAATAGGATGAATAATGAACAATTAAAAATAATTATTGAGAATAAAAACGAATATTTACAGTTTGCTAAAACTTACATTTTTCTACTTACTTTGTTATGCTTAAAGTCACACTAGGAAAAATTTTATATAAATTAGATATTTTTTATAATCTGAACAGACACAAACTATGTCCGAAATCACGACAACCACACTTTATATCTAATTTTGAAATAAATGTATTGCCTACCACTTTATTTTTATTTTGAGCAGAACTCAAAGCAGTTTTGGAAATATATTGTTTCCAAACTAGTTATAGTAGTATATGAGTAGCTCTTTGCAATATACTTATATAATTCTCTTTTTGAGATAATTAATATTTATTTGGTAGCTGTACTTCATTTACATTTTTATTCATTATGATATAAGTTTATAACATAGATATGTACGTACATATACATATGTCTCTATTGTAAGCTAGCACGTTGGTGACTTGTGACTTGTGAGTGGTTACTTGTATTTCCGTCATAAAATAAACTGTGTTCATCGAAGCATTTTTTATTTCGCCATATTTTATTTTGAAAAACATAAAGCGCTATTGCAGAAACATCTATTATTATATCTTTATTACAACATTTATATATCAAAATTGGATTATTTACGAAATCGCTATGCATTTTATCCCTTTTAGCTTTATTTTATCCATATAATTGAAATAATTATAGCCCGTTTGACTGTAAGAAGCATTGAAATATGTTTATATTATATAAAGATAAAAATTATTTCTACTTTGAGTAAAAATATTACGAGTTATAAAATATTTTATTTTCAAAGTAGAAATAAAACCTGCGAAATGCTTTACAGCTACTTTAGCTATGTGTTTTTTTTTAGTGTAGAATCCTAATTTTTTACAATAATGAACAGGCCAGTTTAATTTTTATTAACTAATTTAAATATAGATTTAATTTAATTGCATACTAGAATCCCTTAAAGCATTCAGATTAAACAAATTGTAGTGAAAGCCGTTAAAATAATACAAGATTAAAAGAGCGATGTATTTTTGATCCTATTTTCGAAAATTTTCAAGCCTAAAAATAGAAATTTGGGAATATTTTTCAAATTTTCACATTGAAAAACGTGGCAGCTTTTCTATGCCTACATAAGTTGGAAACAAGTCAATAAAAAAATCTAATAGAAAAACTTCCAAAACAGTTAAATTTTCTGACAAATTATTTCTCTAAAACATTCATGGAAAATTGTTGGATAAGTATCAAACTTTAAATATTTTTAAACCTGACCAATTTGAAATAATTTGCGCTTACATAATTACATCATATAATAAAATGTAGAAGAGTGGTGCTCAAAACTTGTTAGAGCCCAAGAAGCTTGAAATATCTAAAGAAGCAAAAAAACGACAATTGTAAAGTCCTAAACGATTATATCATTTGTTTTCTCTTTTAATTATTTTATTCCTTTAAATATTTTTTTTTATCTTTTTTCCGTTGTTTTTTGTTCTGACATAGAATAATTCCATTATACTGTTTTTTTATATTATGAGTTTTTGTTATTGTTGTCATATTATTATGTCCCACTATTAAATGAATAGTGCAACAACTACTGTAATTACAACATCTACGCACACGAGGGTAACTACGTATATTATGTATGTACATGAATATCGCGTAATGTAAACGTTCCCTTCTTTCTCAAAAACCTTTTCGTACAAACATTATCATTAGTTTAATTTTAATTAAAAAAAAAAAAAAACATTTTTATTGAATATTTTGCCAAGGAATAAAAGAGATCACCCGAAAAAAGGAAAAAGAATTAATTACTGTTATAAAGATATGAGGAGCTCCGTAACAAAAACAAACTAAAACTAAATATTATAGACAAAAAAAAATTTCTGTATGAATTTTCTCATTTACCGATTACAATATTAGCACTTTTCTCTGCAGTAACAATTCCGTAAATTGGCGATAAATTTTTCATTTACAAATAATATCACAAATGATAAAGAAAATGATAAAAGAAATTTAAAATTTGTTTATTGAAAACTCGTATTTAATGTGAAATAAAATTGAATAATTTTCTTAAATTTTACTTGAATTGTATGACTAAGATTTATGTGATTGTATCGAAAAATTACGTGTTACTATTTTAGAAAATTTACTAGATCTGAGAAGAAATGCATTTAACCTTTGCATAATTTTCATTGTGATACATATCTTGGCCAATCCTGAGTATATAAGTTATTCAAAATCTGCGGTAATAAAATATTAAGTCAGTATTGTTATTATATTGTGCAAATACCGTTACAATTTTACTGAATGATCACATTAAAACTTGAAGAAACTTAATTTATAATGTTTTGTAATTATTTAAAAAAATTATAACTTATAATATCAATTACCTTATATAATTCTTTTTTATTTTCAGGCAACTTCTATCGCCTAATATTCAACAAAAACATTATCACGTTGGAGGTTATTTAGTCGACGGTAATCGACATGTAAGTATGAATAATTATCATTTGAAATATATTTTGTATTATAATAATAATCGCTTGGAATTCATAAATTTCACTATTTTTTTACTGGTTCTCGGTTAAATACTTTTGCAAGGAAAATTTCTTTAAAACCAACCAGTTGCACATTTCCGTGAAACAATTGAAGTTATTCAAAAATGTGGCTTTTCAAAAATATATTCATTCGAGCTTTTGTTCTCTTCATAATATTTTATAGCATACTTTTGGTTTAAGAACAGAAACTTAAAAAAATACTAAGAAAAAAGAATCTATTTTCGTACGGAAACTTCTTATACTTTTTACTTTTATAATAGATATTTTATAACTATATATAAAAGCAGTTCTGCGTACATTCTATTACATAATAAATTATTCTAATATTTTCAATACACTCGGCTGCCAGGGCCGTTATGGTTTTACAAAGTTAATTTACCTTAATAATAATTAGTTTCATTCATGACCAAAATATTTCAAAGGTTGCACACATTTATAGAAGTTTGCAGTTTCGGAAACATACTCGTATGGTCCCAAAAATTCGAATTTTATAAATCTCTTGAAATAAAATCAAAAATAAAATAAGTATCCAAAAGGTCTTAAAATTTCAGACTCCTAAAGCCTATTGTACGGAAGAAAAACGATATCTAAAATTTAACAAAAACGGAATTCAGATAACGGTTAATATTACTATTTGAAGTCCATAAGCCGGCCTCAATTTTTTTGCACTCGCAAAATTTTAAAAATGTTTATGGTTTCCTTAAAATAAGTAGTGGCTTTTTTAAGTGAGGTTCTATAACTTTTTGGAGAAGGGAAGATAGGGAAACATTTTCTTCTACTTTTATAAAGATGTTTATTTCCACGGACGGGCGGAAAGACCGTCGCACGAACAAAGTGAAAGTAATAAACATTTATTTGTAATATTTTTTTTGAAAGGTTCTAAAAAAAACAAAAATATTTCACTTTACTCTCTTCTTAGAGTATTACTTTATTTCATGTGCATATGCGTTATTATGCACCATGTACGAATTATATTTCTTTTCTGATTTTATATATTTTGCAGAAAATATTGTAACAATAATTATCAACAGATTTGCTTGAAATTTCATATATTAGCTTCACTCTTCCTAAAATTTGGGAGAAATCAAGTGTCCCCAACTGGACGTGTACTACGGGCCAAATATACAATTTTGCGCATATAAAGAAAAATAATCATCCGATTTCTTTGAAATTTAATATTTAAATTCGAGGCATTAAAACAATAAATCTATAAATATTTTACATTTTTTACCATATCTACAGCGCGAATTGATGGAATTTCTTGAAATTTATTAATTGAGTTCTAGTTGTTACCGGAACTTACTTTATACAATAAGGTGACGAGCATTTAGTATAATTCGGACGGCACAAAATGAAACCTTACTAAGAGCCAAATTCACATTTTTCTAGGTATGTTAAATAAAAGCTTATTAATGTCCTTCAAATTGTAAAGAAGTGTTTAAAACGCATTTTCATAATATTCTAGAATACTTTTATTAATCTAGAAAATATACATTGCGGCCGGTTATACACTAGCCACCGCAGGTATTTTTTTTATATTTTTCACGTTTTCTCTTTGTGTATGATATTTCTTTTTATCGTTAATTTGGTTAAAATTTGTTGTTATATGTTATAAGATATAAAATTCTATTGTAAATTGAGATGCGCACTACTTTTCCAAATAGAATGCTTATAATCCACGAAAATTCGCCAACCTAACACAAATAGTTTTAGAGAAAACCATGGAAAAATATTCAATTCGTGCAGTTTTCCACAAAAGGAGTAGATAACATGCGTAAATTCAATGAAGTTAATAATTTTTACTTTTTCTATATAGGTATGCAGTACGTAATATACATTTTACCAAATTTTTTAAAATTCGAAGACCTATGACACTCCGAAGAATACATTGTAATAAACAAATAAAAAGTTCAAAAACATGTGTAATTATATAGTTTCATTAACAACATGTGTAATTATATAGTTGCAACAAAAACTGGAGCCGATCCTTACTTAAATATTCCATGTATGTTATTAATTTAAATTTCTACACATTAAAGAATAACACATAAACTGTAATAAGTATAATAATTATAAAGAATAATACGCAATTTTCGGGCGATTGAAGGACAGGATTGTCTATTTAAATTATATGGAACTTTGGAACTCTTTGAAATGAAGCGAGAACTCTCAGTGGTTTAGAAGTTTGCACGGAGTGATATCACAATTTCACAGGTCCAAATTTCCACAATAAAGTATCAGTATTTATTATTTTTTATAAATATTTTGCTAAATAAGGTGCTAAACTGCACAAAGCCTTATAAAGTTTGCGTTGGGTTTATTAAGATATTAAGAGCAAAATTCAAAACTTCGCAACTTCCGAACGTTTTGGCTTCTTAAACATTAAGTTCCTAAATTAAAAATCGCTTTGAGTTCATAAAATTTATCGAACCGAGTCAAATCAATAAAATTATATTTCGCTATTGAAATTTAAAGCTATAGGCTAAGAGCAGAATTTAGTAAATTAATGAATTTCTTATTTATAGTAAAAGCAAGTAATTTGATAGCAGCGGCTTAGACTTATATTTTATGAAATAATCCTTTTCAAGCCAAATTTTTACTATTTTTTTTTTCTGTTTGCTTGAAATAATTTATACTTTCCATAATTAGTTTCATAGACTAATTAACTAATCGCTAAGATACAAATTATAACTTATAAACATAATTACTTATTCTTACCCAATACGAGTATACATAATAGAATTGAAAGTATATTATGTACACACAAGTAAAATAAGTATTTTGTTCGAAGTATTTTTTTACATAGTTAAAAAAAATTTTATGCTACGATTACTTATTATAGATCGTAAAATTATATTATGTGCAAAATGTTTATTGAAATTATAAATAAATAATCGCTAATAATAAACACATGCCTTTTTCAATAAAATATTTCTATATGTACGTACATGTGTACATATTCCAATATTTAAATTACTGATATAAAAACAAATAAATATAATATCAATTCAAAAAGAATTTCAATAAAATTTTTTGTTATATTAATGTTACATGGCATGTGTAAATAAAATGTTAATATATGAACTTATTTGAATGTGATATACATAAATATTGCTCCGCAAAAGATTACATGCGACATGAACACAAACTTTACCAAAAATTAGTATGGCTGAAAAGATTATAAATTTTCACTTTCAGATTTCTTCAAACTTTGTGGTTTGAAAATTTTATTCCTCTGAAGTTTGAATTTGAAATTTAGTTTAAAGATCAAGTGAAGAATGCATTTTTAGATTTAAAAATTTAGTGATGCATTACTTTGCCATGTGTCATTAGACTTCTTTTCTCTAACTGCTATAATCTTTAACTCATATTTTTATATTTTCATTAATTTGATGAGGCAACAAATTAGGAAAAATATAAATAACAAGTAAAATTATTAAAAAGTTTTCGATCGTTTAAAAAGGCAAAATGAATTTCAGAACCTAATTAGTACTTACTGGACAAGTAAGATTAAATAAAACAAATTCGGATCATACCGATTATTGTGAAGAGATATTAAGATTCTAATTAGATCAACCAATTATTTGGGAAGAGCAAAAAAATTAAAGAGACGTTGAATTGGGACGGTTAAATATGATATATAATCCTTTTTTTTTAATTTTATGGCATTTACCGTTTTCTGTTGACTTTTCGGAAAATCTTAAAGTTTTGCAAGGCGGCCGAAATTCTAATTTTACAATGTTTTATACACTCGGATGGACAGAGTGAAATTACTTAATAATTAAAATAATTAATAATAAAAATTAGTTATCGTTTAATCTGTCTCAAAACGTTGAATTTTAACGGTTTTTTAAATCTTTTTAAATTTTTTCAGGATATAGACCACCCTAATAAATTTGTTTGTTCAATTTTGTGTATTGAAATTGTTGAACTACGAAACTTTCTCATTAAGTTTTTTTATACATAAAACTTTCCACCAATAATATCCACGAATATTTAAAAGTTATTAATATATAATATAGAAAAATAGATATTATATACATAATACTATTATACGTATTTTACGTACAGCAACTGTTAATTCGGTCCACCTACATTTCGTTAAAAAGTATATTATATAATTGTAGTAATGTAGAATTCAATAATAATACGCAAAATATATTTGCATATGTATACAAATTGCTTAAATATAATCTACTTTAACGTCAAGTAAGAATATTCTCTATTTCTGTTAATTAAAATTGTACCGCAGAGAAATTCATCAGTCTTTTGTATCAATTATATTAATTAACAAGAAGAAATAGTTTTGTCGAGCAAAGTATTGTAGTAATTCTTGATAATACCATTTATATAAGAAAATATTCCGAAAGTTATTAAAAAACTAAAAGAATATTATTTGATGTATTACTACTTAAAGAAAATTTATCGTGAATTTTTCTTTTCATATGTCCTAAATTCAATATTAATGAAGAATTATTAAATATACACAAAAATTAAAGTTAGAAATTACAATATTCATTTTAGAGGAGTACCTATTTTACTATCTTAATTAGAATCAGCAAGTTAAAAATAAAAAATTATGCTTTTAATGTAATTTTCAATATTTAAAATACCAAAATGTATTTCCAAATTTATTATTATGATCCAAACATCTTTTTAAGAATTGTTTGACAGTAAATTATATGTACTATTTACTATTCCTGTCCGATATACGAATGAATTATACTCGTAAGTCTAAGAACCAATTTCAAAATTTTGTTCGTTTTCGCTTCATTGACATATCCATCAAGCTGTACTTAGAACATTATGGGCAGGGGTAACAATCGCAGTCATAAAATTGATTATAAAAATAATAATATCTGCATAATTTCCGTGGAAAATACTATAAGAGCCCTAAATATAAACAATAACATATTTAATAAGAAATAGCT